GGCAGGAGGGTTGGACTAGATGACCCACAGAGGTCCCTTCCAACCCCTACCATTCTGTGAAGGAAAAGTAGCCGGGGAAAGAAAAGAAACAGCAGCAGATCTCAAGATGGACACAAGCTGATGGAAACTGTAAGAGAAGCAAAGGCACCGCACATACAGGCACTAACTCAAATTGTGTAACATCTGAGGACCATTTAACTTATGACTCTTGTGGTAACTTTTTATACCGAGGTGTGGTTGGTATACCATTAATTTGAGGAGAAAAAAATATTTCTGAATTTTATTTCGGCTCACTCAAAGATGAGAAACACAATATATCCCTCTCCACTAGTCTGATTCCCTTCAGTTAGAAAATGGTTGTTTCCATGTTGCAGACTTCATGAATCTAGCCATATCTTTGAAAGTTAGGTGGATTTATTTACTTATTAATTTAAAAGTCAATTTCTAAAACATTCTTAGCATGATATTTCGTGAGGTTATTTTGACAGTCAAGTGGTACTGCAGAATGTGTTGCCATAGCAACCAATATTCTTACACTGATTATTAAAAGGATTGGGTTAACTCTGCAGAGTGTGGGTCGTGAAAGACTATTATTGCTATGCATTTGCATAGACAAAGGAAGAAGACTACAGGTCTTTCCCTTCTATTTATGACGCCTTCTTCCATGGTGGTTGCCCTTTTTTATATTTTAAATCTCAGAATCGTTGTACCAGAGAATAAAGTCCTTCTTGCCCCCTGGAGCAAAAAACAAAGAACTGCAGCAGTGCTAGGTACAGGAAAGCAGGTAACACACATTAGCTGTGACTTTACAAGCCAATGTAAGTGAAAGAAGACAAAAGTCACAAAAAATTGGCAATGCACCTTCTAAAGGTAAAAAAATACAACACACACAATATCAACGAGAATTTTTCAACACAACTAAAGGAAGATGATTAATGAAATTCAATACTTTTGAATCATTGAAGGGAGAAAATATGAGTATTTAGCCGTCACGGGAACAGAGTAGAAAAAAATCATACCAAAATATTATTGAACAACAGAAAAAATACAGAAGCAGAATGGGAGATAGTTGTATTATTTCCATTAGATGTATTTTTTATAAATAGCCTAAGATAGAGTGAGGATCACGGGAATTTAAATTAAAGTCAATATGAATGAGAAGAAATGGGAAATATTACATAGTCAGATCTCCTGATCATTCAAAAAAGGACCAATGTCAGAGTTCATTATACACATTCCTGGAATAGACTGACTAGTACTCTTATGCAACTAGACAATCCAGGTATGAATAACACCATACAAGCTCATTTACAAACTACTAGAGTAGGGTTGGCTCTTTTTATTCCGAGTGACTGATTTCTGTCTTCTTGCCCAGATTTCTACTACTGATAAAATGCTAAAAAGGAAGCATTAGGAGAAATGCATGTGAAGGCTCAAGAAACAATTGTCCCTATCACCTTTCTCACCCATCCCCGCTGCCACAAGCCCAGTTCTTCCCAGACCACAGGCCCAAAGGGATATGTGGGAGTCGCTGCAAGGAAAGACAGCTGCATTGGCAAAGAGGAGGAAAGGAGTTAATCGCTGCATGAGAGAAAGGGGAGTCAGAAGTCCCTCAGATGGGGTAGACTCGGTTTGCATACCCTGGGGAAAGGGCTACACATGGAGGAGACAGGTGAGATACAGAAAGATCTACAGTCAATCCACAGACCTCAAACTGTCACACAAGCCCATAAAACTCCCAATCCGGACCACCCAGTTTCCTGCTATTCTCTCCCAGCCTTCATTCCTTTCCCAGAACTCCCTTATTTTTGTTCTGTTGTATAATTTAATTTTGCCTCCTCAGAAACCCTTTGGACAGGAAAATCTAATTCTGTGTGTGCTGCTGGGAAGCCTTGAAATAGCCCTGTAGGGAGAGTTTTAGTGAAACTAAAGTTATTTATGCCCACTTCTCAGAAAATAAAGAAATAAAGGGAGAGAAAGATATTTCTGTCAGCTAAAGAAAAATAGACACAACTGAGAACCTTTTATTCATGCCTGTTTTGACTCAAAAAAGAAAAAGTAAATGTAGTTAGA